TAAGAAGGAGACATATTCTGCTCTGATTTGATTCTAAAACACCTTCTTTAATACCAGGAAGCCTGTTTCCCTGTAGAAGCAGCTGATGCTAGGGTTGAGGCGAGAGAAATGGGAAAAGAGCCTGAGCACCTGTGGTACCAGAAATTAAGAAAAACAAAATTTTAATAGTGGGTTTGTTCAAAGAACAAGGACCTAACCTGAAATAACCCCTAATGACCAAAGTGGAACAATTTACAAACGACATGAAGGCAGGGAGCTGCCCTGGTTACTTTTCTCGTTGCTGAGGCAAAATGCCCGACCCCAAAGGCGAAGGAGGAGAGGCTGATTCGGCTCACAGTTTGTGGAGGTTTCCGTCCACAGTCAGCTGCCCCACGGCAGGGTGGTGTGGCAGAGGGGCATGCAGAGGGGCAGCAGTCCTCAGCAGGCAGAAGGCAGCGGAAGCAGTAGGCGATGAGCAACAAACGGCAAGCACTGCCCCTCCTCCGCCCCTTACAGCCCCCCTGCGCTGCCAACCCGTAGGGCGTGCCGCGCTCACACCCAGGTGGGGCAGCTTAACCCTAGCACCACACCGTGAGCCAATCCTGGCATCACATCCTCAGTCCCAACGTCACTCACCTGTGACCCAGCCGCCTCCGAAAGCCCCAGGTATGCCACATGAGGCCTCAGGGGACACCTAGATCCTCCATAACTCATAGAGGAGCGCACATATCTAGGAGCATAGACAGACATGAATGAGCACTTAATCAGATAAAATGGACAAGGACAAACAGTCTTCTTTATAGGACTGCAAGTAAAATCTCAATGGGGAGAAAGAAAAAGTTACCATTAACCAGATACCACAATAAAAACGAATTCAGAGGAGAGGCACTGGCCTGGAGCTGGTACTGGTGCTGGCTAATGTATTGGGCACAAAGTTGAGCAGGCACGATTCCATATCGCCCCAAACCATCTCCACCTTTATATTTACTAAGTAAAAAGGGCAATAGCTTTATCATGGAGAAACTGGGCAGGAATCACCCCAACCAAGGGATCAGGGTCAAAACTGGCAAAACTGATGGGGTCAGGGCTCCAGGGCCTGGTGCCCCAAGGACACACTTCATCTACACGACATCTCATTAAAAATGAACCACCGTACAGCAATTAACCACTAAGAAGAATATATGCAGTGTATTATTTGTTGAAACTGTACTTCCGATTTGATTTGAAACTGTCTCATTGCTATCTGTTTATCAATAAAACTGTAGAAAAAAAAAAAATGAACCACCTCTCTTTTGAGGCAGGCATCACTGTCCAGGCTTGTAAGTGACAAGAAAAGACTGAGTGACAGATATGGCCTGCAGGAGGCCAAGGAGATTCAACAAGTAAGTGCAGTGTAAGCTCAGGTTGGGTCTTAGAACCAAGAGGATGCTGGGAACGGCAGTGAGATTGGAGTGGGCTGCGTGGCTCCCTGGTAACGAGCGCGTCCAGGGCCGGAGAGCTGCAGGGAAGCCAATACTTGGCCCAGTTTGCACTGAAGACAAGTCGGCGCTGTAAACAATAATGATAAATCAGCATTCATTTTTCTGCTGTTCTATCATGGAGCTAGGATCATGCGAGGCACTGGCTAGCAGAATGTGAGTAAAAGGGAATAAGAAGCCACTATTTTTGCAACTTTTCTATAAATTCAAAATAAATTTTTCAGAAAAAAAAAGAATTGAGTCATTTCACCCCTTTACTCAGAACCTCACCGCACGTCACGGATGTCCCATGCTCTCAGCAGCCCAAAGGCTCCCAGGCGCTGGGCAGTGACCTTCTTGCGGCCTGTTCCCCTCGGCCTCCCTCCACCACCAGGACCAGCCATCCTGGCTGACCCATGACACAGACGGCCTTGTCCTGTACCCCGGAAGTCCTGTTTTGGACTGGAGCAGGGAGGTGATGCTATGAAAGGTGTCCCCTTGGAGGTTACTAGGCCACAGGGCTCCCTTGTTAGAGGCGGCAATGCTCTGGTGAGGCCTTGGAGGATCTGGTCCTTTGCCCTCCGCCCTGAAGTACACACGAAGGCTACACCGTGGAAGTAGAGTGCAAACCATTTGCAGATATGAGCCCTGTTGCTGCGCTGTCTTGGGACTCAGATGACAATGACCTTGTTTCTATTCTGTGCACGGACCAGTCTGAGGGATCCATCAGAGCAGCACGAACAGACCAAGACAGGGCCTCTCAGCCACCGGTGGCTTCTGCTAAAACTTCCTCCCCACCCCGTTATCTGCAGTCACTTCCTCTGGTCCTTGGGTCTCTCTTCAAACAAGGCCTGCTCAGGGAGCCCTCAGGTCCCCACCATGGAGAAGGCCCTCCACCCCACCTGCCCCCCTTCACCCCACCTGCCCCCCTCCACCCCACCTGCTCTCCCACCCCTTTCTTTTTTTGTACTGAGACTGACCACGCTATGCAAGTGCTTTTTACCACCGAGCTCCATCTCCGGTATTTTGGGGTTTTAAAAACTTTTGAAATAGGGTCTTGCTAAGCTGCCCAGGCAGAACGCAGCCTTAGGAGGGACCCTCCTGCCTCAGCCTCCAGGTGTGTGTCCCCAAGCCCAGTGCCGCCTTTCACCCCTCTGGTGCACTTCTCATGCCTGACCCGCTACAGATTTACTCCTTCTCTAGGTAAGCACCTATCTACACCCACTGCGATGTCTCCAAGACAGCAGGGCTGTGTGTGCTTCCGGTGAGTGACCCAGGGGCAGGTACTGAGAGAACACAGTGATCTGTAACTGTGTGGGAATTTCTTGTCGTTATTTATTTATTTATTTATTTATTTTTATGCTACCGGGGGATTGAACTCAGGCCCTTGTGCTTGCCAGGGAAGTGCTTATTCCACTGAGCCATCTCCCCGGCCCCTCTTGTCATTATTTTAAATGTTGGATATTTACAAAGGCAAAGAGTTCACCTTTATTTACTTACCTTGTACTATCTACTAGAGCAACGGCTACCAAAATGTTCCAGATGGCTCTGAGGCTGGAGTTCCAGGCTTCTTGCTTCTTTGCCTACCTACATGAGACCTTCGCTTAATCTTTTTAAAAATCGAGAATGCTGACTGATGTTAGAGGATATTCTTCCTACATTTTAAGTGGAAGAAAAAGAAACGTATGCACCCTTTCTTACTTTTTAACAAATGTGCTCAGCATAGAGACTGACAATAGCTGCTCCCAGGATACAGGATTAATTTCTTATTTCTTGTCTCTTTTTAAAATTCTCTGCATTAAAAACACAAATTCCAAATAAATGGAAGGGAGAAGGCTCACTCCTGCAGATAACCTCAAGTCACCAGATTTTTCAGTCTCTCATCCAGCAGATGAGGAGACATGGCCCCGCAGGCCGGGCAGAGCCCCAAGAACCGGGTTTTGACCCAGGCGGGCAGCGGCCTGGAGCCTTCCACGCACCCGCCAGTCTGTAAGTGTCTGTGGAAAACCCAGGGAAAATGGAGATTTAGTGAAAACCCAGGCAAGCAGCCACCGACCCCTCTGAGCACGCGACGGGGGGTCGCCTCCGTCCCCCTTACATAAGCACCGCTATCTCCCATCTCCATCGGTAGCCCAGCCTGAGTCACCTCGCCCAGGCGCTTTCCCCCTCCTCCTCCACAGGAGCAGGAGCTGCTTTGGCTTGTAGGACAGAAGGGGGAACTGAGGCCCACAGCGGGTTCTAGAGCCTGGTGGGGGCTGGGAATTAGGCAGCTTGGGGTCGGGGCTTTCTAGGCGAAGGTCTCTTCCACTGCAGCCCAGCCCAGACTGGGCAGCATGCTTGGGGCGCAGGCTGGCTGAGGAAAGGAGGGGTAAGGGCAGTCTCCACATCGGCCCTTAGCAGGGCAGGCGAACGCTGTGACCTCTGCTGCGGGGCTTTCCTGGGCCCCTGCTTGCAGGAGGGGTGCCAGCTGCCCTCAGCAGCAACTGCTCCGGGGCGCAGGCTGCTCATACACACTGCTGGTGGAGGTGGTCACCCCTTCTCCATGATGCTGGGGACAGTTACACCCTCCAGCCTGGCCCGGGAAGCACACCCAGCTGGCCTGAAGCCACCAGTGAAGGCAGTGATGGACTCAGGGCCAGGCTGCCTGTGCCCTGCTGTTACCATCAAGGCAGCTCTCAAAAGCAAAGATCCCAGGAGAGCCTGGAGCCTGCCTGGACTTTTCCTAAAGACCTGGAGTGAGAGCTCTTATAATTCTTCCCACTGGGCTGGGGAGATAGCTTGGCGGTCTAAGCACCTGCCTCGCAAGCACGAAAACTGGAGTTCCATCCCTGGTACTGCATGGTGAAACTGGGCGGGGGCGCACACCTGTAACCCCAGCGCTGGGGACGCTGAGACAGGAGCATCACTACAAGTATGAACCGAACTCTGTGTAGCAAGACCTTGTATCAAATAAATAAGTGTCTTAAAAATGCGGGGGGAAAACCCACGTGGCAAGGGGAATTGGTAGGCCGGGAGCAGCAAACGTTGCTCCTCCTTTTGTCCTGTTTGAACTTTGCCCCCTAAGCAAGCACAAGTACCTGTCACCAAAGACTCACTCACTAAAAAGGTAAAACTCCCAAATTCCCATGACTGGAGGGCACAAGCAAGCCGCTGAGGCCATTCCGCCCTTCTGGGGACCCACAGCGTCTTGGGAACTTGGCTGTGGGCCACCTGGTAGGTGCACAGAGCGGTCTCCAGGCCAATGCCAAAGTGTAAGCTGGCATTTCCAGGCCAGGGTGCCGAGGCCCTGTCCCAAGCCCCTGGGATTGGGTCATTCAGGTCTTGGAAACACCGGCCCGGACCTTCCCCTAGAAATCAAGCTCTTTCCTTTATGTGATGCTGGATTTTCCACAAACTCAGATCAAGATGAGTAAAGATGTGGTTTGCAGATAGTGCCCGACAGAGCAGAGACCAGAGTTTGAAGCGTCACCCCCTTGGGGCTATAAAAGCTGCCACCGGAGGCCAAGGCCACAAGCCACTCTGTGAGCCTTTCCTGCGTGTCCGCCTCTGTCCTCCAGCATCAGCTGTGGCCTCATGGCACTCGGGGTGACTGTGATCCTTGCTCTTACCTGCCTGGGCGGCCTCACTGCCCCAGTCCCGGGGCCGTCCCCCATGGTGATCCTCAAGGACTTCATCGAGGAGCTGGTCAACATCACCCAGGACCAGAAGGTGAGTGCAGGCTGGCTCTGGGGGAAGCCAAGGGCAGGACAGGCCTGGTTCACACTCCTGTGGGTCAGGAAGATGTCCCTGGAGAGGGGTCGGGCCCAGTCAGAAGGGAGAGAGGCAGGCTAGGGGATAGGAGCAGGGTCACCTAGGGGACCGGACTACTGGCCTCAGCAGGACCCACTGAGCCATCGTGAGCAGTGGAAGGCAGAGAAAGGCCAGGACTCCTGGAGCATCTGCCGTCTTTCCAAATGGATTAGAACACAGCAGCCTGGCGGTTGCTCCCTGTGTCTTCGTGTGCACATCCCCCACAGAAGGATGCATAGAGAGACAGGCCCTCCCCACGGGCAGCTCCCACACTATCCGAACACAGATCACAAGCTAGACTGGTGCCCGGTGCTTACCAGGTGGGGGGCCATCGTGGCTGTGCCTCCAGACGCAGGTGCAGTGGCTCACTCTGCTAAGTGAGCGGGCAGTGAGGGAGGTGGGCCTGGCCCCTGTCAGCACGTCTCTGTTCCTAAGAGCAGCCCCCGTTCCAAAGCAGGGTGCTTCGTGCACCAGCGCCAGCCACCCTCCTCTGGTCTATCTCAACCGAGAGCAGCCAGGCTTGCCAGGTCCACCCCTTCTCTATGGCCCCTTACCCTGACTGCATTGCACTTGGAGTAAAGTTTGTCCCTTACCAGTTGGGTCACTCAATTTTTCTCTCAGCTCCAGGACTGAGTAGAAATCCTTCCCACGCACCTACCAGCTCCTCAAGTAGAGCAGACACGAAGCTTGGGGGTGTTGTGGGGTGTACCAGGCCCCACTAGGCTGTAGTGGGGTCCTGTGCGCCCTGTCCTCATGACCTGGCCTGGGCTCACGAGCTCTTTGCTCCCACAGACCCCCCTCTGCAATGGCACCATGGTGTGGAGCGTCAACCTGACAGCTGGCATGGTAAGGACCTCCGTGTGCTGTGGGAGGGGCAGCTACAGCACTGCTTGCTCTCTGCTCCCTCACGGGGCTGGGCCTCCTCCTCCACCCCAGGACACACCTCCACAGCCTCTGGCCCTCCCCTTCCTGTAGACACCCCCGGGCTGGTTCTGCGCCCCTGACCCTGTGCTCTCCACCTAGTGGTACTGTGCCGCCCACGAGTCTCTGAGCAACGTCTCCAGCTGCAGTGCCCTCCAGAGGACCCAGAAGACCCTGAGCAGCCTCTGCCAGCGCAAGGCCTTGGCCGGGGTGAGCACCCCTCACCACCTCCCTAGCCCAGGCCCAAGGGCAGCCGGGCCCACTGTGGCCGCAGGGACAGGGACTTTGGGGCTTCCAGGACTTGGGCTCCAGAGCTCCTGACACCTACATGAGCCTCAGTTTCCACATCTGTGGCTCACGGGTGATCTTGTTACCCACCTGGCTGGGACTTTTTTGGGATCAAGTAAAATGACACCTGGAAAGCCCCTGGGTGCTTGCCGTCTTGGTCTCTTCTCGTCCCACCAACCTGCCGGTCTCTCTGTCCTGCCCAGGCTCCCAGCTTGCACAGCCAAGACACCAAGATCGAAGTAGCCCAGTTCGTGAAGAGACTACTCAAACATTTAAAGAGCCTTTATCGCAACGGAAAGTTCAACTGAGGCGTGGATGGCGCTGGTTGTTCGCGTTGCATTCCCATTTCCCATTCTGATGTTGGAAATCCCTGGGGCAGTGGGAGGAGGGGAGGCCATTTTAGCCTGGACTCAGCCTGGGCACCGGTGTGAGCCCAGCCAGCCCCTGGCAGAGGTGCCCGGCACAGGCTGGGCTCTGGGCTCTGGAACCTAGTGGGAGACGGTTCCCACACCGGTCCCACCACTCCAGGCCCGCTGCGGTGTGGGGTGGGCGGCATGGGTGCTTTCTTCGTGTTCTTATTTATTACTGTGTGTTATTTAAATGAGTGTCAGTGTGAGGGGTGGCGGCTGCAGTTGCCTGAGGGCCTGAGCAGCGAGCGGTCACACGTACTGTCCGCACAGCTCTGCTACCTCACTGGGCCAGACCTCCAGCCTCGCCTCATGCAGCCCTCAGCCATGGAGTAATTTATTGTTTATTATCCCTTAAGTATTTAAATGTAAATGTTGAGTATGTTAGCAAAGAGTTCATAATATATGGAGAGTGGGGGGGTCACCGAGCAAGCCGTCCACTGACTATGCCCACAGGAAACCTGCAATAAAGATGGTGACAGAAAGCCCACTGGTGGTCGCCTTTTCGGTCTCTGGGGTCGCTTTCTGTGTTCTCTGGAGCTGGAGGGGAGAGGACATGGAGGGCGTGGAGGGCCTAGAGTTGGGGAGCCCCGGCTTGCCCAGGGTGAAGCCAGGAAGGAGCAAAGCCCGAAGCTGCATGGAAACGCACCCTGCCACACTCTCAATTCCCAGCTCTCCCTGTCCACACGTCACCTGTCGGACGCCCCATTTCCTGGGGGATGCAGTCCCGGCTTCCGGGGCACCCCACCTGGGCACAGTTACCACTCAGTGGGTGTTTGCTCACCTGGCACACATGTGAAGGGCTTCTGGGCCTCCCTGGAGCGGTAGGATGAGCAGGGGCTGCCCGCTGGCATTGGCTCAGGCCACAGGGCCCCTGTAGTGGGCAGCAGGTATCCCACCTCAAACCCTGCCACCCTGGACCTGCATCATCCAAGGGACAGCAAAGCCTTGGCCTGGTGATGACAGGGCTGCCACTTCTGCTGGACTGCCCAGGGAGGGTCAGGAGACACCAAGGTCCCAGAGCCAGTGCCAGAGGAGAGAGATGGGGCTGGCTGCACAGGACGCTGAGGGTGAAGAAGGGTGAGTTCTACAGAACGCAGTGACCCTGTCTGGAGCCCCATCTTTGACCAGTGTCTTCTCCACAGCCAAGACTTCAAGCTGTCTACCAAAGAAGCCTGAAATACGTCCAGGAAAATCCCATGGGAATCCCTTGTAAACAAAGACTGGCATGGGTACTTGTGGCCCTGGGGCCCGTGGGGGCAGGGTTGCAGAGGTTATTTTCAAGGACACCTGGCAAGTCACTTGTTCCTGTTGGCCTGGCCCACCGTGTTCAGGGAGGATGGAGTCGTGCCAGGCCCCGCCACTAGGGGCCCACAGCACACCATATTCTCCGTCAGGCTGGGCTCCCCTGCATCGTCCTCCAGGCTGGGGACCTGGGATCCTGGGCAGGGCAGAGTGCAGGGAGCTGGGGAGGTCCTCTAGGGACGGAGGATGCCTCAGAGCTCCAAACCCCAGCTGCTGGTACAACAGAGGCAGCCCAGATCAGAATGAGAGGAGGAGGAGGGACAGGAAAAAGGTGTGTGTCAGCCGCCACGCTAGGACAGGCCCCGGGATCCTTGCTGGGACCCCCCCAGCTGGAGGTGGCGGGGCTCCTCCATCCACAAGCCAAGCCCTCAGCAGGGCCCAGAAAGGAGAGGCCAGAGCAGCTGGTGAGTGGGAGGACAGTGCTGCTGGGGCCCAGGGTGGGGAGCCCCTTAGCACCTCAAAACCCCAGACCAGGAGGTTTCTCTAGAAGAGGGGCCAGGGCTCAAGTGAGAAATGAGACAGACGCACTGAAGTTTCCGGTGAACTCGGCACCCAACACCTCTGCCTGGTGTGCAGATGAGGTGTCAGAGAACTCTCCAGGGCCCTCGGCGAGTTCTCTGAGGCCAGCCCTGAACACTGAGGCTGGGGAAGAGAGGCCTGCAACTGCTTCGGCGACCCAGGAGCAGCCCGAAGCTTGGGGAGCCCAAGTCTTCAACCCACAGGGTTTTCAGTGCCACTGCAGGGGGCTGGAGCTCCTGCTTGGCCTTGCCTAGCTGTGAGCAGCTCCAAGCTCAAGCCCTGCTCCCTGGCCAGCCGACTTCTGCAGAGACTGGAGGGCAGAGCTGGTGTGGCCTGGCATGGACACACTGGATAGGGAGGCCTCTGGAGGGGCAGGCGGGCTGGGACAGGCACCCCCCCCATACTGCCCTGTCTTAATTCTGAAAAATAAGAGTCATGAGGCCTCACTATCTTCCCTCGCTGCTTGGCTCCACCCAACGCAGCGAGGCACAAGGTTTGCAACGAACTTTCCCAGATCAACTGATTTCTCGGCAGCCTGGGAGGCCCCATGACGAGGCCATTTGAAATCCCAGAAGCGATTTTCTACTTGCGACCTCACTTTCTGTCACGGCCTCTCCTCCCTCCTCAGGGCCTTCTCTTGTGGAAAGTGATTGTCTTGCTACAGCGTCAGAAACTCCCCAGCCCAAGCCCTGCCCGGCCCGCCCGCAGTGCGGTCAGAGGTGACGCAGGCCCCAGAATTAAATATAGCAGCTCTCATCCCTGAAACAGGGGCAGGGGCTGGGCAGACACCGTGTCCCCTGTTCACCTGCCCCCTGCGGCCTGGTGATCCCCTGGCCGGAACCCCTGGGACACCCTGCCCTCCTGGAGTCTCCAGCTGGGCCCCGCAGTGTCTTACCGGCCCCAGTCTCCATGCCCTGCATTTTCTGTAAGGCGCCTGCATTCATTTCCCCATAGGAGCAAAGAAAGATTTAAGTTAAAAAAGCAAAGCCCTGAATTGGAGGCCTTTGAAGGAAGCTGCTTGGCGGGCGAAGGGCTCAGCGACCAGAAGAGCTGGGGTGCTGACAGGCCCTCCTCCCTGCACCCAGCAGAGGGGTCTGAGGGCTGAGAAGCTGGGGTGCAGAAGGCCGGTCCAGCCCGTGGGCAGGGACCGCAGGGCCCTGGGCAGTGGCACCCCGCCCTCACCAGGTCCCTGCCTGTGCCCGCTTAGGGGCTCTGGCAAGGACTTTAGGGGCACAGTGAGCCCTGATCCCAAATCCACTGTGTCCCTGACTCTGGGGTGGGGGTCTCTCCTGGGCCATGTCTGCGTTGTCCTCTGGGCAGTGCAGCTCCGTTCCTTCCTCCACTGGGAGTTCATGGAGACCTACAAGATGCCAGGGGCCCCTCTGGGTGCTGACCTGTGGGGCCCAGCGTGCTGCATGGGGACAGGGGCAGGGGCCCCAAAAGGCCCTCATCCAGGCATATGAGCCAAGGTGTGGATGAGGACAGGAAGGAGCCACTCGTATGGGAGGAGATGCACCAGACGGAGGGGACCACAGGGGTCAGAGCACGGCGACAGCTGGCTGCAGGCACCTCCCACATAGGGAGACCCCGGGGCTGGGCAGGTGCCAGGCAGAGGGGGGCGGAGGAGTCGCTGGCTCCAAGCCTGCGGTGCTGTGCAGGAGGAGGGGCCCAGGGGCAGCAGCAGGAGGCTGGAGGGAGGCGGCGGGGCCATGGCGGAGCAGGGCAGGCAGCCCACCCTGGTGCGGACGGCGCATCTGCTGGGAACACCATGTGCAGCATCTACGTGACAGCTCTTGGATAAGGCGTAAGTGCTCATGCACGTATTAAAAATAAATATTTTACTATCCATGTAAGGGTTTTTTTTTTTTTTTTTTTCATGTGCTGAGGACTGAACTCAGAGCCTGGTCCACTAGAGGCAAGTGCTCTACCACTTATAAATGGCCCCAAATAAAATAAAAAATGTTATAGAAGGCTCAGAACAGTTCAGAAATCACACCCGGGCCTCAGCATCCTGCTCCAGAAGCTGGCTTGGGGACCGAGTCTGCCTTGTCCCTCACCCCGGCTGGTACACCCTCAAGGTGGGGAGGAGCTGGGGGCAGGCTGGGTCTTCCAGGCTTACTGCTGGGTCCAGGGCAGCTGTCCCAGCTGGCCACAAGGACACCGTGTCCCCGGCTCCATGCGCCTTCCCCAGGGCCTCTGCTTGCAGACACCACTGCACAGCTGTCCCCACCTAGCTCCAGTTGCTCCATCCAGCTCACTGCTGCTGCCCGGCAATAGCTGGCCCCTCGCCTGTTCCAGAGCTCACATGCCCGGCTGGAAAGTGCCTTCTCCAGTGAGCAGCAGGGTGCAGTGCTGCGGTCACCTCTCGTCCTCCTTCGTCCCGCAGCCAGGCACCTCCTCCTCTCCCCAGGCTCAGGGCTGTGGCTGCTTGTGCCTGTCCCACCTCCTGCCCCTCGAAGGAGCCATTTCTCTTTCTTTTTTCTTGTTTTTTGAGATGAAGTCTCACTTTGTAGTGCAAGCTGGCGTTGAATTCACTGCATAGCTGAGTGAACTCTGGGTGATCCTCTTGCCTCAGCCTGCAGGACTTCAGGTGTGGGCTGCCCTCTGCCCACCTGTGCAGGAACATGGCTCTGTCCAGGTGTCTCTACAACTGGGCCAACGGCTGGGTGGCGGTGCACACCTGAAATCCCACATGCAGGATTGCAGGTGTGGGCGGGATTTCAGGTGTGCATTGCCGCCCAGCCATCGGCCCAGTTGTAGAGGTACCTGGACAGAGCCACGTTCCCCTGGCATCAGGTCTCGTGCATTCTGACACGGGCATCGGTGGAGGGGCCCAGTGCTGCAGCCTGGACCCGCGCTGCCCACATCCCTGTGCTCTTCTTGTGTGAGGGAAGGGGACAGCAGGCCACCTGAATGCCGACCAGGCACCAAAGACAGCTGATCCCTGCCAGCCGCTTTGCTGGCCTGGCTCCTCACAGCCTCCTGCCCCAGACTGAGGGCCTGAGGCTCGCAGCCCAGTTTCTCAGCCACCCAGGGAGTCTGATGTGAAGTGCCTTCTCCAATGAGCAGCAGGTATG